CAAAGCAATATATAATTTTAATGCAATCCCCATTAAAGCTCCACTGTCATATTTTAAAGATCTTGAAAAAATAATACTGCATTTTATATGGAGTCAGAAAAAACCTCGAATAGCCAAGACATTACTCAGGAATAAAAACAAAGCAGGAGGAATCACGCTACCTGAATCATCTTTATTCTCAAAAAATGTTTCTCCAATCCCATCTTACTCTCAGATTCTTTTCCCTTGTACCTTTAACCAACAGCTTATGTGAAAGAGCATTTTGCCCTCACTATGCCAATTTCCTTATTGCTCATTTGTGCCTCAATTTAATATATTTTGAATGTGGACTTCACTATCCACAAAAACTGACCTTACAGCCCATAATGAAATCTGGATGGCCACGTCTCACAGCTTCATTCTACCTTACCTAATGTCTAAAGTCACACCGCTGACCAGTCTTTCTTTATAATTCTTCCTCTCCTGGGTGTGATACTACAGCCCTTCCTTTCTTGATTTTCTTCTTACCTCTTTTACTGCTGCTTCTCAGAATCTTCCTGATAATTCTTTGTCTCATAAGTTCTCCTCTTAATCTCTAAATTCTCTGCCTACTCTATTTCTTCCATTCAAATAACTTCAAATGTCCCCTCAGTCTACACCAAGCCTCTAGAATCTAAGCAGCTTAGACCTCTCAAGACTTTCATCTACCTGAAATTAAAAGACTTTCATTTATTTGGAATTAAATCTAAATGGCCAGTTTCTTCACAATTTAACCAATACTCCCACTGTCCTGTTAAAACTGTCAATAGTTTTTCATTATATTCAAAATAGATTCAACCCAATGTCCTTATTTTTAGAAAATACACTCTGAAGTATTTAGAAGTATCATAATAAGAAACGGAAAGATAGGCCGATAAAATAAGGCCACCCCTCTCATATGGCTTTGGGTATGATTCATAATCTAGTATCTACTTACATCATCTCTTATCACCCCTCCCCCAGAATGAAGCACATGATAAAGAACAACTAAAACCAAACACAAGAAAAGCAGCACCGTATTTTAGCTGTAGTCACACTTAACCTGCTGGTGATTTCCTAAATAGGCTATACACCAACTTCAGCACTGTTTCCTCTGCGTGGAACAGTCCCACTTCTCACACTCGCCTTTAAAGATCTGCAATCCTGCTGTACCCTATACTGCCCTTCCTTAATCCCCTATGTATACTACTCAGCTAGAAGCTCTTTGAGGGGAACGTCATGTCAACCAACATTCTCTAGCTTAGTACCTAGAATATGTCAAGTGATGTATAAATATCTGCTGAATAATAACCTACTTAGCGTCTTCCTAATTCAATTTTTTTATGCCTATAGGCTTCTATAAGCTGTTCCAGTTAATAAGTATACATACCTTCTTCCTAAACTATAGTTCTTTCAGAAATATATCCTCTGGGAAACTTTCTAGAACATCATCTATACTCTCACCACCTCCCATGCTAAGTGATTCTACTCATAGTGCTTTTATAGTCTTTTGTGTTCAATTCTGTGTTAGTCCCTGACTTACCATATCACTATTCATCAATAAGTCACCACTAACTAGACTGAAAATTCCTTGAGGGCTGAGATTAGAGCTAATTCTCAGCCACATTCCTATCACTTAGCCCAAAGCTAGCAACAGTACATAAATAATAAAAAATATGGCCCATTACCCATAGCTCAGTGGTTATGGGGCTGGCTACATATACAGGGGCTGGCAGGTTCAAACCTGACCTGGGCCTGCTAAATAATGACAACAACAACAACAAAATAGCCAGGGCTATTATAGGTGTGGTGGGCACCTATAATCCCAGCTACTCGGGAGGATGAGGCAAGAGAATCACTTAAACCCAAGAGTTTGAGGTTGCTGTGAGCTGTGATATCGCGGCAATCTACTAAGGGTGACATAGTGAGACTCTATCTCAAAATAATAAAATAATAATAATAATATTCTCAGGATATAGCAGCTAACTGGGGAAATGGTAAGAAAAAATACATACATATGAATATGCATATATATGCACTTCCTGAATGAGTGAAAATCAGCAACTAATCCATCTTTGGTGACTACGTAACCATTTACCTAAATAAATTGAATCTTTTCCTACTGTCAACAATTACAAAGAGTTTTACAACAGAATCTAAGGCTTCAAAACTAGTTTTAGCATACTATTAGAATTGCAAATTTGGATATGTAATATTTCTCTAGGTTAGTAAATAACAAAGATTTTCTGTAATCTTGTAGGACTTACAAATTATACCGTATTGATGTTAACTGTGAACTTCTACTACTTTACTGGATATACTTTTCAGATCTAGCACAAATATAAAACACATGTTTAAATCATTTCAAATATACATATAACATTATTCTGTCATCTGGACGTTTGAAAACATAACAAAAATCACCAAAACACCACAAATAAGTGCAGACCTCAATTTACCAGAAAGCTGAATTCTAGAAGTTGTCTACATATTTGCTTTTTAGAAATCAGAACACATCTGCTCAAAGAAACAAGGTTAGAAATGGTGGCTAGGTTCCCACAGGATCCTACAAAAGCCTATTTATTGCATGATATGGTTGCAGCACTAAACATTTACTATAAAGAGAAGCAAAAAAGTTTAAAAATTAAAAAATTTTAAACTGTTATAGAACAAGTAATTCAGCAAAACAAGGCCAACAAAATTGAATATTGTTTTATCCATCCTAAATGCAAATGCCTTTGGGAAAGAATACAGGTTTAATTAAAGGACTGACAAGGAGCTACGTGGAGACTTCTGTAGAGATTGTAAAGTGGACTTGTGAGAGAGCTTAGGGGTTTTCTGAGGTTAACAGCACATCTAATTTATCTCCAAACATTACGAGCTAAAATATACTAGTCTAGTCTTCGGAGTCATAAATGTAATAGTAAAAGAGAATAATGGCTACACAAACAAAAGTTTCCTAAAGCACTTGGGCATGAGTTTGAAGGACAAAGGGAAAAATGCTTAAGAGAATATATACTGCACTCGGAAAATCACCTGGGTTTGAATTAACTCAGCTATAGCACTAACAGAAAAAGTTAAGTCTGGAAAGTCTGGTATAAGCATACTCTCTCTTAGATCTAAAATGGTGCTGATAGGACAGAAATACTGGTTTAATACTGTCTCTTCTCAGTTAAGTGCTAGACTCTGTCCAGCACAGCATAGTTGCTATCCACAAGGTATGTGTCAGGCATAGGAGACTAGGACAGGCTAGCAAAAAGAAGAAAACCTGATGCTTGTGGGATTTTACAATTAGATTGCTAAAAAAACAAACAAACAAACAAAAAAAAACACCTCTATTGTCAAATACACACCTCAGTCCACACTTTGATACACTGTTTCATTGAACCATTAACTTCTGGATGCCACAGAAAATCCTAAAAGAGAAATGTTAGAAGTAAAGAAAAAGAACTTTTTCCCCAAGTTTCCACACACAGCATTGAAAGAAACTCTGATTTCCACCAATCAAAAGAAGGACTAATGTTTGCTTACAGAGCGCATGAAAGTAAAACCCCACCCTAAGACACCTTCATCTGCTAACTCAGTTTGCCAAGAGTCGCTCAGTTGTTCTTACATCTATTTTGTCTTTCTCTAATCTAATCTCATCTGCATTTTAGGCAGATTTAAAAACTTAAATCCGATCATGCCACACCCCTAGTTAAGTATTCAGGAACTTTGAGGTGCCCTTAAAATAGTCTATAGTCCTGAAACTGCGGAGAAGGTCCAGGATCTGGTGTCCACCTGTCACTTCTGCCTTTTCTCCCGACGCTTTACCCTTGCTCCCCATGTGCCCTTTGTGTTCTTGGCCAGTCCCTGAAATGCTGTATATTCCTTTTTCTCTAGGATTTTGCATATATTGTTCCTTGTGCCCATAATGCTCATAAATTCTTCCACTGAGCCTGGCTAACTCCTACTTATCCTTGAGGCCTTGGTTAAAATATCACTTCTTCTAGGAGAAAAACTTTCAATTCTTTGCTCTGTACACTCCTAGAGCCCCACTTTTTCTTTTCTGCCCTCCTTATCCCATTTGCATTTGCATGTAGAGAACCATAAAGATCTGTAGGCACATTCTCCATATGTGGGAGCTAAAGAAAGAGAATCTTAAGGAAACGGAGACTAGATTGATGAGGCTAGAAAGAAGGGATAGAAGAAAAGGAAGGGCAAAAATCCCCTCAGTAATAAAAATGTATTTCTTGGGGCAGTCCCTGTGGCTCAAGGAGTAGGGGTCTGGACCCATATGCCGGAAGTGGTGGGTTCAAACCCAGCCCCGGCCAAAAAAACAACAACAACGATTAAAAGTACATAATTAACTTTATAAAAAAAAAAAAGTATTTCTTACCACTGATCTATACATTTAAAAATGATAAAAGATGGTAAATAATATATGCATATTCACTTCAATAAAAAATTTTTTTAATAAAAGAAAACTGTAAGCTGTATTAGGTGAAGGGCATTTTTATCTTGATCCCAACTGAATTTTCACTGTGATTGGGAATTCAGAAAATTCACATATATTCTTTTATGAACCTTCATCCTACATACATACTGGTTTCCAAATAAGGTACAAGTTTTTCTGGAAAAATTTTGAGAGACTAGATTTTCTATTTTATTATAGAACACAACTCACACAAATTTTTATCCCATTAACTTAAAATTGTTACCTATTCTCAAGAATACATTAAAATATACTTAGTTTATATAAAGTGTTAACCTCTTTACATACAAATTAACCAATGAATATAGTTTTCACAAGATAATGCCTAGCTTACTATGAACTTACCACTTTAACTGATGCAATCTTGTCTTCAAAAGGAATGTTTTCATGCTGCCATAGAAAAGAAGCCAATAGAGAAACATTAATGTATAGGTTAAATTTATGTAAATAATTCCCCCCTTGGCTGCTTCCATTGATTTATTTTTATGTACTAATCTCAATTACCTATACATTCAGTGCAAGGGTGAAAAAGCCTGCATAGAATACCAAAAATTAAGTGACATTAAATTTTTTTATGTGATTTTCAACATCTAAGATGCAGTTCAAAGATAAAACTTCAAGTACAAACAAGTCAATACAAGAACATCCCTATATAAATTATCCTTTTGCCAAACTTGCAGGATTCCAATTTAATCCTAGTATTACTATCTATTGCTTCCCTACATTTCTTGAGTCCCTCAACTCAGGCAGAACTACATGGCTAATGCTGGCCAATGCAATGTGGCTAGATGTGACATGGGTCACTTCCAGGCTGAATTTTCTAGGGCAGTTCTATAGAGGATTAAATATCATACTTACTACATAGTCACCAATATCATAACTCATCTAAGGAATTACTGAGAACAAGACATTCTCCTGGCAAGGCTGGAAATCTCTTGTGACTTGGAAGGCAAGCCACCAAGTAACTCAGTAATCCTAGAGGAGCACAGTTCAGTCCTGTAGTAGTAAGGCTACTGTTATAGTAAGCATTTTATGGCAGTTCCTTAAAGGATCCGTGGAGAAAAATTACATTTAGTACTTTGAAGATCATTTCCTTACCACCCTTGAAGATCATTTCCTTGAGTACATACTTTCTTGGCACCTACCAGATCATTTCCCCGTGCACACAGCCCCTGCATGTCTTTGCTTAGTAATCTTTCTGCCTATTATGTATCTTTTCAATAAAAGGACTCTGCGAGAAGTGCTCGGGGCTATCCTGCACCTATGGGTAGCCTCACCTCTTGCAGCATGTACCATCAAGCTGTGTCTCGCGTTATTATTTATGCGGTTCCAACAGTTCTCTAGTCTCTACCTTTTCTTACTGATGCAGAGACTGAGGTTGCTGAGTGATCCAAAGTACTACAGAAAATGGTAAAAATTTCAATAGCAAAAATCCTATGATAGAGTGGAGCAAAGGCTCTTGGCAACTAACCTAGGACATGCAGCACTAAGTGAGATATTAACTTCTGTATTTGTGAAGACTGCAGAGTGGTTTGCTGCTGTAGCTATATCTTCTAGTTCATTCTCATCATATACTAGGCCCTGATTAAACAGGAATGGACGTAGATAACTCTAAGTTATTGTAGGTTTCACTGTGAAGACAATATACAAATAGTCCTTTTTTAGAAAAAAATTAAAATTTGAAGAATATAACTTCTTGTAACCAAGTGTTCCATGTAAAGATTGGAAATCCTTTCAGAGTTAGAACTCCTAGGTAGGATAGGGGTCAGGGTAGTCAGTAAGAAGCCAATTCTGCTCCTAAAACCAAGGTTAAAATGTTTTCATTAATTTAACCAAATAGAAACATTGGGTTGAATAAAATCGCATAAGTCTTCTCTTCTTTCTCCTACTCCCTCCTTTTCCCCCAAGTATTATCAATGGCATATCTGTTACTTGTTAAGTCTTTATATGTACAAGTGTCTATTTTAGAGCACTATATCCTAAGCCACTGGGCTTTTTGTTTAACTGTACCAATACCACACTATCTTAATCACTACAGTGTTAAACTAAATTTTGATATTTTAGATCAAGTCCTGACAACTTTTTTCTTCAGATTTCTCTGTGGTTATTCTTGGTCTACTATCATTATTAGAATCTAAATTAGAATCAATTTAGAGTCTAAACTGTGATATTTTTTGAAAATGTAGAATCAACTGGTAAAGTTCCACAACAAATTCTCTTAAGACTTCGTTGGAATTACATCAAACACACAGATCAATGTGGGAATAACTGACATCTTTAGAAAATTGAGGTTTCCTATCCAGGAATCTTCTATTTAATTATGTCTTTCAATTAAGTGTTGTGGCTTTTCTGCACACAGATCTTCTATAATTGTATTATTCCTATGTAGCATAGTTTTTGTTACTCCTGCACATGGCATGTTTTCAAAACACTTTTTAGCCCTATATATATTGCTGACATGTAAGCAATTGAGGTATCAAATTAAGTTTTGTACGTTCATCTTATAATCAACTACTTTGTTAAAATATTCATAAATTATATTTAATTTTTTATAGATTCTATGGGATTTTCCATGGAGATAACTGTATCTTATGGACTCCTCAGTTTCTTTTCAATTCTTACTTCTTTAAATTATCTTTCTTTGACAAGAACTTCTAATACAGCGTTGGTTAGAAGTAGTAGCAATGGTCATCCTTGTTTTTTTCCTGATTTTAATGGAAATGTGTCTAATTCTTCACCATTAAGAACATCTACAATAGGTTTCAAGAATATTTATCAGGTTAAGTTTGACGTAAAGTAACTTACTTAAAAGAGAAAGAATGATCCCAATTCTTTGATTTTTGTTGGGACTTGCTTAAAGGGATAATACACGATCATAAATGTTTCATATGTGCTTTGAGAAAACATATTCTCTAATTTTGAGTATATTCTCCAAATTACTAAGCTAAAAGCTTATAAAATCATGTCTGCTAATCATCTACTATAAGTTCACTAGTTCTATTTGCCTGTCTGATTATTAACTGAGAGAGCAGTGAGCAGTTCTCCCACTAGGGAGGATTTGTCAATTTCCTGTTTTGCGTTATATTAATTTTTGCTTTATACATTCTAAAGCTAATTTATTAGATGCCTACAAGTTTAAAATCTTAATGATTTCAACTCTGTCATTAAAAAGTGACTATCTATATTCCTAACAATATTTTTTGCCACAAAATCTATTTTGTGTTGTATAACACGGCTTACCCTTCTTTAACAAGCATGTCTGGTGAATCTTTGTTCATTTTTAATTAAACCCTTCTTAAATCCTTTTATTTTAGGTTTGTCTTTTTAAGCAACGGAAGTTCTTTTCAAAAGCAATTTGAAAATCTGTATTTAGCTCACATGTTTAGGCTTTTATTTTCATAAATGTTTCTACCATTTTAGTTTTTGATTTCTATCCTCTCTACCTATAGTTTTTATATACATATATGTAAAAATAGCTTTTTATATACATAAATGTTTGTGTGTATGTGTATCACATGTGTATACAGGTATACACGTATACATATAAAATATATATTTGACTAGATGAGTTTATTTTTTAATTTTTTTTCCTGGGTTGTAATTTACACAATTTAATTCTGTTCTTCTAGTCTTTACCCTTAAAGTTTTGCTGTGTTATCTTTAAGTTTTTTTTGTTTTGTTTTTTTTTTTGAGATGGAGCCTCAAGCTATCCCCCTGGGTAGAGTGCCATGGCATCACGCTCATAGCAACCTCCAACTCCTGGGCTCAAGCGAGTCTCCTGCCTCAGCCTCCCACCACAACGCCCGACCATTTTTTGGTTGCAGCCATCATTGTTGTTTGGCGGGCCCGGGCTGGGGATTCGAACCTGCCACCTTAGGTGTATGTGGCTGGCGCCTTAGCTGCTTGAGCAACAGGAGCCAAGCCATCATTAAGTTTTAAAGAAAGATAATGTTTTAGAGAGAATAGTGTACATTAGAACATTTTAATTATGATCATTTCCCTCTGACTTATACTGTATTAATTGGCCAGTTCTTTTTTTTTTTTTTTTTTTTTTTTGAGATGGAGCCTCAAGCTATCCCCCTGGGTAGAGCGCCATGGCATCACGCTCACAGCAACCTCCAACTCCTGGGCTCAAGCGAGTCTCCTGCCTCAGCCTCCCACCACAACGCCTGGCCATTTTTTGGTTGCAGCCATCATTGTTGTTTGGCGGGCCTGGGCTGGGGATTCGAACCCGCCACCTTAGGTGTATGTGGCTGGCGCCTTAGCCGCTTGAGCCACAGGCGCCGAGCCAATTGGCCAGTTCTTTAGTTCTGTCTTCCCACTAAATGCAAAAAAAGTTTTATACATTGTTTAGATTACATACATGTTTATTGTTCTCTTTAACCATTGCTTCTTATATTTCAGATCTTTTTTCTGAATATTTCCCTCCTTCCTACTGCTTAATCCTTTAGAAACCCCTTTTTTAGTGTAAGTCTGGTAGCAGTAAACCCTCACAGTATCTGTATAGCTGAAAATGTCCTATATTTCAAAACTAAAGAAATTTTTATGCGAGGTGTACAATTCTAGGTTAAACTTACTTTCTCTCAGAACTTTATGATTACTATTCTACTGTTCTCTGGCTTCCAATATTGTTACTGAGAAATACGCTGGCCCAGCGCTTAATTCTGTACACATGGGGACATACAGCTGTTGGCATGTCCCTTCAGGGCAACCCAAACCTTGACTATTTCCCTATCTTCACTGTTCTCATCTCTGGTTTTGCCTCACAGTTTGATTATTTTTCAAGGAGTGTCTCCCAGTTCCTCAAAGTCAAGAAACATATCCACAGTGTTTTTCAAAATCGAGGCTGTAGCAGATTTGAAGTAGAAGGGGCTCCAGAGCATATAGCCTGCCCTATGGTTGAAAGCAACACAAAATAGGTTTCTTAACTGTAAGACTCCCCAAGTTTTGAATATCCTATCCTCAATTAAAACCATCGAAGAGGGAGACATGCCCTCTAGCTCTCCCCAAATTCATTTGGCCAAACCTTCTCACAGAACTAATTTTTCACAAAACGTAATTTGAAAAAATCCAGCACTAATGTCTCTTTAAAAAAAAATTACTCAGTAAAGAACAGAAACCAAATTCAAACAAAGAATTATCTTCAATGTTAGCATTCCACCCAAACATATCCACACCAAGAATTTAAAAAAAAATTAATGAGCTTTTACAATATGTCAAATTGTGCCTGGCACAAGAAATGTATTTTAAAAAAAAAATAATGATATATAATTTCTGTCCTTGAGGTGTGCAGAGTTAAGAGAATATATAAAATGTAATTTGGCAAATGTTCTACCGGTAGTTTGAATTAAATATTACCTTGATAGCTATCTCTTTAAACTTAGTACTATATTTACTTATTTCTTTTTAAAGGCATATAAATTAAAATATATCTTGTTTTATAATTTGGGGATAAGTGGATATCTCTAGAAAATAAAAACTGGAAACCTATATGGTACAAGTAGGGCTGAGAAACAAGGTACAATATTATATCTACTTTTGGCAGTAGACTAAACCATTATAGCTTTTTTTCAACTATTGGCTGCCAAATACATTATTCCAATTTTCAAAAGGTCAACAATTCTAAGTCCAGAAGTACTTGTATTAAAACTTTCTTTCAAAACAGAAAACTCTCTTTTTAAAAGTTTACTAAAGATTTTTACTAATTTGCAATACTTTCAGGTATTAAATAGTTCTAACTCTTTAGCATAATTTTGTATATGTACAAATGGAAAATACCTTTACATTTACAGATACTAAATAACTTTAGTATAACAGTTAACTTTATTATTTCCATTATTCTCATTAAAAATAGTTCCTAAGGACTTGGGGCCTTTATCATCATCACTATGTGAATGGCTACTTAGCAGGGAAGCTCCTAAGTTTCAACTCCTTACCACACAGCAAAATGATGTGTTTAAGCAGATTTTTATAAATTCATGAGCTTTATAATTCAGAACTTTCTCCCCTTTTTTCCATACAAGGTTGAGGAACCCACAGTCTTTTGATTACAACGTTGTTCTTTTTAAAGCACCAAAGGAGACAAAAAATCTTCAATACCTTTCTGCTGTACCCCTTTTAACAAAACTTGTTTTATAAAATCTGGATTTAGTCAAAAGACTACTCTTAAAGTCCAGAAGGCCACCTGTGGCCCCAAGTGGTTCATTCCCCACTTCACGATATCTTCAAATGAGAAATTTTCCAATAACATCAATAGCAAAAATTTATTGTGTTATTTTAATTTATAGCATGATCACCTAATGCCAGAAAGGTTTCAGGCTCCAATGTATACCACTAATTAGAGTATAAATTTAAAGAATTTGGCAATATAATCAATAATTTTTTTTTTTTTTTTTGAGAGACAGAGTCTTGTTTTGTCGCCTGTGGTAGAGGGCTGTGGCATCACAACTCACAGCAACCTCCAACTCCTGGGCTTAGGCGATTCTCTTGCCTCAGCCTCCTGAGGCAAGGACCACAGGCGCCTGCCACAAAATAATTTTTTAGATGTTTATATTTTTTAACCTAATATTTGCATTGCAGAGATCCCGTCCTAAGGAAATAATTAAAAAAGCAAAGATTTCATACAAAGAAGTAACTTAAAGTGTCCTTTTTTACTGTAAAAAATTATTAAAACTATAAACAGCAAAAAAAAAAAAAAGATTATATAAAATTACATTATATCCACTCAACATGCTGCCATTATAAAGATACTTAAGTTGATTACATAATATGGGTGAAGTATGATTAAGTGGTGGCGAAAAAAAAGCAAGACATAAAATTACACATGCTAAAAGATTACAAGTATAAGACTGAAAAGAAATCTGGCAAATTATTAACAGGAAGATAAGAGATTACATTTTCTCTTTGTCTTCTTTTTAAGAAATTTTAAAGTTTTTTCATAGTAAAAATGTATTAGAAAACTAAAAGTTTACTAAGTTAATAAAAATCTTGCCAATACCTTCCCCATAATTTCTTTTCTTCATGTTCACCATTATAGCAAATCATGCTTTTTCCCCTACCTTTTCCCAAGTCAAAATAAAACTCTTCCAGTTGCTACTGTTAATCTTGAGAGACACAATTCTCCTAAGACTATACTGTCTAAAAGGGAACATATAAATTTTACCTTATTTCCTTCTTCTTTGAATTGGGGATTAATTATTTTTACGAAAGAATAAAACAATTGACGAATTCTGGAATCTCCAATAAATGCAATATGTTTATCTACTAGGCAGTTCTTTGCTTCACTGAAAACAACGAAGAAACATTAATTAAAATAAGTAAAATGAGAACATTCGCATTTTGAAAGTACACGGTTAGTGAAGAAAGCTGAACAGTTGTTACATATATGGTTATGTTGCTTTAGAAGTAGGTGGCAAGGTTTGTTTAACTTATAGTAGCTCTGTGTAACTAACTCTCAATAGTAACAGCCCCATTCATTAAATATTTAAGATGTACTCTATCTCTATTAAGTGCTTTATATCTATTATCTCTTTATCCTCAGATTAGCTTCGTAAATTAGGCATCCAAATTGCAGATTAAGAGTCTTTTGCTCAACAGCTATTTGGCCTGATTACCTCTCACCTGAGATAAAGCAGTTTGCCCAAAACCCCTTCCCTGAAGCTTTAGGACAAGAATCTTCATTTGGAGTCAGCCCTACCCCTAGGCTCAGTCACCAAGTCTCTACCGAACTCTACCCCATAGAGAGGAGAAGGTACTCTCTGTTTCACCAACTGCTTCCCACTAGATATTAAGACCCTTTCTAAAAAAGAAAACAAACAAACAAACAAAAAAATGAAGAAATCATACCTGATTTTGTATTTATGCATCATACAACTGTGAGGTTGCCAAACTTTCTCTCCAAGAAATCTGCCACTTGAGAGAAGGTATTCACATGAATCATTACCTATAATGGTTACATACAACAATATTATAAACCATAGTTAAATTTTTATATTTGGCTATTTTTACCCTATTTAAGTTCCTTGGGATCAGATAGTACTATTTTCTACGTTTCACTGTCCTTTCTAGGTACATACTACCCTTTCATGCGAACCATGATAAATAGTAATATGTTACTATTCAAGAGGGTAAGAGCCACTAATGGTTTACACCTCACCCTCTAAAGTTTATACTTCACCCTTCATCCTAACTCCTAAATGCCAACATCCATTCCCTCTGGAAGTTCCTTTTGCTTCAAGTTTTCTTTCTAGGGACATCGACTTAATGTAAAACTAGGCTTTCTATCTGATTGTGACTCCTTCTAGCTGAGAGAGAAAAGTTAAGTGATAAAAGAGACTCTGGAAATGACTTCCTATTCAACTATTATAACATTTAGTGTATTAGTAAATCTGGAGGCCTGGTTTTAAACAAAGTTCCACAACTAGGAAATCCCTCAGTCCCACCTAAACTGGGACAAGGAGTGGCTCTTCTTCCTTTGGACATTTCACTATGCAGTATTATGCAATAGTTAATTATCCATTACCAAAGGGGTTAAAAAAGAGTTTGCAGGCATTGCAAATGAGGGGAAAATGAGATATTTAAATTAACATGAGATTATAATAAAATATCAATATTTATTAATCTCCAGTTCTTCTATTAACAGTCAACAGCAAGCTACGTGTGTTTGAAATTAGTTATGGTTAGGCTAACGAGTCTGGTAAGAGGAGCACTGCAAAACAAAAATGGGGTGGCACCTGTGGCTCACTGGGCAGGGCGCCGGCCCCATATACCGAGGGTGGTGGGTTCAAACCCGGCCCTGGCCAAATTGCAACAAAAAAATAGCTGGGTGTTGTGGTGGGCGCCTATAGTCCCAGCTACTTGAGAGGCTGAGGCAAGGGAATCGCCTAAGCCCAGGAGTTGGAGGTTGCTGTGAGCTGTGTGATGCCATGGCACTCTACCAAGGGGGATAAAGCGGATGAACTCTCAGGGTGGAGAGAGAAAACCCACAGATTAAAAATTGAAAGTCCAAGAACACACTTCTTTTTTTCAACCTAATTATTCATCTGTCTGGCCAAGATAGACACAATGTGATGCCAGTGCAAGACAAGTGTGCATGAACATGGAAGGTGTTGCTGACTCTGCGTCATACATTCTAAAGTAGGAGAGGAAGGGAAGGTAAAAATGCAGCCTTCTCTTGCCAGTGGGAAACGAGATTAGAAAAGCAGGATAAGGAAAGGAAGAGATCAGTTATTAAAGTTTTATAATTATATATGTAACCTGAGCAGGTTGTCTCTCCTTCAAAGATTAATAACCTGTCTCTGAGTAAACTACAAACAATTAGTTCTTAATAATTCCTAATATTAAAAAAATAATTCTAGTTCTAAAAGAAAATTAAGCTACATAAATAACGAAGGATGAGTAAAGAAATAACTGCAGCAATACACAATTAAGTTATTTTCCTAAAACCAGCATTCCTGTAGCACTTTTTAATAATGGCCATATAATAAACTCCTATTAAAAATCTAGCAAATATTTAAAATTAGGGTGAAAATTCCATCTCTTTAAACAAATCTATTAAACCAAGTTAAAAGTAACACATTTATTTTTCTAAAAAGTTATAAGCTACAAATAGCGAGGTGTTAGTCCATAGTACATTTCTTCCTTTTATTTCTTCTTTCTCCCTTTTTCTTATTGTTTTTCCTTTTTAATAAAAGCCTAGAAAGAAACATACCTTGATCAATACTCAGTGTTTGAGATATTATTTGCTATGCATCTACATGGGTTATCAATATGATTTCATGGCGATGGAAGTGCCATACCAACATCTTGAAATAACCAGTCTTTTTTGACCAGAAAATGTGTTTAAAATGCACGCTTCTTCTTTTCCCCTTCAATGCTCCTACCCACACCTTGTTTCTCAGGAGCTGGCTAGTGGAAAACAACAGCTCTAATTTGTGACCATATATTAGAAAAACCCCACAGCAAAATACATTTGAAGCTGTCACTAACTAAAAGGCACTATAAACACAGTATGTTAGAGATTACTGATCTTCCCAGGGAAGAAATGCTTAATTTACTAATTAATGCTAGTTGATGGTGATTCCACATATTTCTTAATACCAAGGTTTTTTTACAAGCCTTGTATCTGAAATTAAATTGGTATGTGTTTCTGCATCGTATCAGAAGATATGTCTTCCAGTTAGAAGACAGGAACTACACCAGTTATTTTAATAGCATCTACTATGAAGAATTGCTAGGGAAATAAAACATTAGCTAGCTAGACAACTGAAAAGGCAAGACAAGAACAGCTTTTTTATAAGTCAGCAAAAGAATAAAAATAGTAGTAATTATAAATATGATTGTGATCTGATTAAAATAAATCAACCTTATCCCAGAAGAAAACTCCGCAAAACATCATACTCTAAAACAAGTTCTCTTTTCTTAGAAAGGAAATGTATTTTATACCAAATCACTATATAGAAATCTAGATATTAAAATAAGACAATGTGCCACCTTTTTATTTATACTGACTAAATGTAAATACCTGCTGGCACATATTTTCCTTTCCAAATTTGCCAAAAACAAAACAAAAACACAGTCATTATCTTCAATTGCCTAGCATAATTTTGAAAGCTACTTTAATACAACAAACGGGAGATGAAAGGTGCCAAGTGTTCCGTTAAATCAAGTGAGAAACTCAATAAAAAGAGAAACTAAAGAGATAGAATTTTCTACCTCAGCTACCTCCAACACTAAAAGCATGTAAATGAAAGACTCACTGGCTTCCTCTGTATACTGTTACCAGAAGTAGAAGCATTCTGGTTTGTCAACACAATCTCAGGTGTTTATACTTGATTTTTCTAAAATAGAAAGATGCCCCAAAGCAAACAAAATAAACAAATAGAAACAAGCTGAAAAACAAAATGTGGCAACTAAGGAAAACATTTCAATAAACCACAATTTATATTCTCCTTGGAATAGAATGCCTCTTGGCGCACCGCACCTTTAGACTAAGTCACCCTAATAAAGCTGTGTGGTTCCTTTTATCAATAATGAAAAGACTAGATCATAAAGTCTGGCATACAGTTTGTAGAATATTTTGTTTGTCTAAAATTCAGCAAACTATACTTTAATCTGTGCTGAAAACCACCGCAAAACTTTTTCTTTAGACAAGCTGGGAATCTATCAGTGCAAGTGTTGTCATAGCGATCAGGATCTTTCTAACAGTCAAAGGAGGAAAAGAACGAGGGACCTGTAGCTGCTTCCCTCTTGCTTTAATTTCTGAAGCTTTCAACCCACTTTCAGTAACATCGAACACTGCCATTTAATATGCTTGGTGACAAGAAAGGAATTCAATTTCAACAAAATTAAGGCCTTGGAATTCGGTTAACTTTATCAATTTACAAAATTACAATTTATCCAGATCGGAACTATCCTTCAGTGTAAAGATACTGGCCTCCTGTCACAGAAACGATTTGGATCCATAATCACACTATTAATGGACATTTTGTGAGTCAGTAATGTAAGAGATTTATAAAATTTAGAAAAAATATGGTTGAGAGTAATTATTTTTTAAATGTCATGCTATTATATGAAGATAATATTAATAAGGCAAAAAAAAAAAAAACCCTACTTTCTAAAACTGAGATTAGAACATGAAATTCAATAAAAGCCACAAAAGAACCAAATAAATGCAGGGAGGAAAATGGGAGAAAATAAGGACTTTGAAAATCTAGTTATCCAGTTATTTATGGAGGCCCTAACTGTGTGTTAGGCTGTAATGATTTAAAGACGAGTAAGATACTCCTGGAAGCTCACAGTTTGTGTGGAGAGGTGGATGCCAATTATTACAGAACAACATGATAAGTATTTACAAGGTGCCCAGCAGAACTGAATTCCTAATTCCTATTTCCAACGTGGTGACATGTGAACCAGGCCTTGAAGGAAAAACCTGTACTTTCTTTCCAGAGGAGAGAGGTTACTGCAGACAGAGAAAATCAGGTATCTTGTGTGATGTGTAAAAGGGCCAAGCATGTATAGTTTAGGAAGAATAAGGAAAAAACAAAGGTAACAAAAAGGAGGGTTGGGTCAGATTTTGAAGTTTTATTACATACAACTTCTAGAAAATTACCACTTGGCTGGAAAAAGAAGGGGAAAACTCTTGGCTAGTACTGTGAAGTTGAATTTGTGTTTCTGAATGGTTTAACCCGTGGCTCCCTGGAAAATGCTTTCTTGATCCATCTTCTATACATCCCCACTGTCTAAGAAGCTCTAAGAAAGGCAGACTGTACCAAGAAGCAGTCTAACAGCGTTCTAAATCAGAGCTCAGTCACTGACTAGTTACGTATCCGTAGGCAATTTATTTAACCTCTCATGCCTCATCTTTAAAATGTAAATAATACAGTAATAGACATAATCTAAATCCATTGATTATAAGACACATCATTATTTTATGTCACAGTAAGAAAAAAATGTTACCAATTAAACTTTGACATGCAATCAAAGTTTTAAGGACTCATCCTGATTACAGATATGTTAAAAATAGGGGGTGAGGGATGAATATGGTTAATTGTATCTACCTCATAGAAAAATGAATTAGAACACTTAAAACCCTACGCAGAATGCTCCCTGGCATATAAGTGCTCAGTGTTAGTATGCAGTCTCTGCCAAGCTTTACTTTCTGTAGTGTGTAATTCTTTCTTTTACTTTCCATAGTTTGCAAAGCAAGAGATACTGAACATATATAATCAAACTACATTCACCTCACCTTACCTGAAACAGACTCGTACCCACAGATCCAAGATCCTAACACACAGCCTAAACCTCTTCATCTAAGATAAGGTTCTCTGTTACTTTAAAGATTTAAGATGTTAAATGTATGTTTATCTCTCTATGAAGGGCATTGCACCTGACTCAGTTCGACACCGCCAATGCATGAGAATGGCGAAAATGTTTCTGGC